AGCGAAGATTTGATCAATGCAGCCACGAACTCAACGAAACCCGGCTTGCTATTTACGTGTGCCAGACAGTCTGTGTAGTATGATAAAATCAAGCAATTTGGAGGCGATGGAAATCAGACTGATTCCGCTATGGTTGCCGCATTGCGATCGTGAGGCTCCCTGGAAAATTGGGACTAGGACGGAATGGCTTCAGTCGGCTGGGACAGCTTCCTGCTCCCACATTTTCACTAGTTACTATTATAAATCATCCACCAGAGCAGGTCACCCGAATTTCAAGAGTGCTGGATGTAAATCACCTGGTCCCACGGATTCATTTAACTTCAACAACGCGATCTCACGCTCGACTTCCGGGAGAGAGGGTGGATTCAAATGCACATTTCAGGGAGCTGGGTGATCAGTGACCGGCGGGAAATCTAACAACTCCGACCGATTAAATTAGCTTTCAAAATGCTCCTAGCTTATCGGCAAGTGGTGGTTATGTGGTTCACGCTCGTCACGTATAATTTCACTAACACCAATTCTCTTGCTGCCCGTTTCGCGTGTCAGCCAGAATAAATTACGATGGTTACCAAGGGCAGCGGCCATTTTCATCTCTGTCGCAAGATGAGACCACCAGGATTCGCGGTCTCTCTTCAGGCTAGCACGGAGTTTTCCCGGAGCGCTGCTAGTTTCCATGTGTTCGATTCCAGTCGGAATAGGCCAGCGAACATCAATAATTTCTAGAGACTGCAAGGCGACCCAATGTCCATGTTGGCGATTAGACTTACCGCGTGAGGAATTTCCTGCTGCTAGTAAGGTCTGGTGAATATGAGACCAGTGAGCTTCAACTGCTTTTAGTAAGTGCTTGCTCAACTCGCATGACAGCGTGCTTTGATAGGCATTCAGAACAGCTGGTTTCGCTAGTTGGCTGGTGTCAATGCGCTCACCACGTCGTCCCGGGCGTCCACAAAATTGCATCCGCAGGTCACACATAGCAGTTCATGGTCGGTGTCCACACATACACTCCAAATCGAGCTACAGTTCTGGACGCAGCCACTCCATGGGTAACTTATCACGACTTAAACGACTTGCGTCCATAGCTAGTTCCAGGATGGTGCGCGCCATGTCACCCTCCAGCGGGTGCTGTGTCGGAAATTAGTGCTCGAAAGAAATAAGCCAGCATCTTCAGACAAATGAAGTAACCGCTCACCGTTGTCATTACGGGAGCCTACACCATGTTGACCGCGCAAATGCAGTTCATCAGTGGATAATTTTCCAAGTTGAGCCTTCCGATCCCCAACCAGCACAACAGTGTCCGATCTTCTTCTGTGGCGTAGGAGCTCGTTCAATTGGCGATGGAACTCGTCTTTTACTGAATCATTGCTAGAGTTTGTGGGTGCATAGGCAGCGATGACGAATAGACACCTGTTTGTTCCGTGCGGCTTCGAAACTTTGAACGAGCCAAGCAATCAGACCTCACACAACGGGCTACTGAGTAGAATTCAAGCAAGCAGACCAGCTTCAACCCGGGGACTCCAGACAATACCAACACCAGCTTGGCCGGTGCTCGAAGCTGCATCACTACCGGATAGGCGCAAAGAGAAAGTGCTGCTGGTTTCACCTGAAGGGGATCGCAAATTGAGCACAGAGCTCGAGTCTTGCAGGCGGTTTTCCGATAAGCAGCAGATATCTATCTAGCGGGTCTCTGATGTTCGGGCAAGTGCTGCCTGTTAACCGACCTGAAGCAATGTGTGAACCTTGAGGCATGCCAATTTGAAGTATGATGGAGGGCTTAATACGGAATTCGATGAACTGTGCTTGACCGCTTGTTTGGACATGGGCTTGTCGACAGGACAGGAAAGACGCTCCGCGTTCACATGTGCGTTGAGACTAGAAAGTAAAAGCCTAGCAAAGCCAGCTGGGAGAGGTTCAAATATTGTGGTTTGTATACAGGGGGATAAAAGTGAAGCTGGAAAGGAACGGTAGGAGAGAAAAGCGTAAGAGGTGGAATAAGAAGAGAGGAAGTGTTGAGCAGTACCATCCATCGCCCTATTCACCCTGCTCGATGCGCCAGATAGGGCACCGTTGATTGTTCTGTGCAATGGCCAGAGAATCAAGAAACTGTTTGCAGAGAAGTTTATTGTATTGCGTTGGCAAGATACTGTCAGGCTGCTCAGGCCTTGACAGGAGGACATTCTCAACCGAAGCGTTTGGTTTAAAAACCTGACCGCAAGACAGCGGGTTTGGCGTTGAGCTACAAGGAGTCCGTTTTAAGGAATAAGTAGCCACCTCATACCATCCCCAAACCTGGAGGACCGGAAGGCTGAGTTTGTCTGGCCTCTAACCATTGACCAATCTGGTATGAGTGGCTTTGCATGTGCGAAAATGCACCACCCAGCATAGCACCCAAACAATCGCACCACGGTAAGGTCCAGCCTCATAGCGATGGACTGGTACTGTGCACCTTGGACCGATCACATTTTGTGAGTTCCATACGTAACGGACTGCTCGGACGAACGCTGGAAATTTGACACGAGGACACCGGCTACCTGCCGGGTCAGCATACAAACCAATTGAAGCATTTTGCCACCAAAGATCTTTTAGATGGGTGCTGAAGGACAACTTTCAAAGATCTCATCTTTAGTTGACCAGCTGCAGTTAGGCGTACTGTTGGTTACATCTAGCTCTGACACTCTCATCCCTATCTGACTTACATTAATAAGAATGTGTCAACCTACTCGGGAGTATACCTGTCCCCATAGACGCATATATATAGCCCTGTGCTTATATCCATTGATTTTCCTGGGTTATTTCCCATAACCAATGAGTGTCGCTGTTATTGTGTGCATGTAACCCCTCAGAGAAAGAATGAATAAATGTGTGCGTGAACTTTAATGAACAGCATTTTACGTTGATTTTATTTAACAAGCTATATTATTAGCACTTTGCGTGAAGTTGCCTGTAAAAGGGTATAGGTGCAAAATTACTACATTTGCCAACGATGGACGAGGAAATTTGATTAATATTTATATAATCCTAGCACATTGGCCGCCTAATTGACCTGAGATAAAAAACCGAGTGCAATCGGATGCATCGCACCTACTTATCGCTGTGCTGAATGTGCTTAACTGGTCAGTTTGCTCGGCGTCTTTCGGATGCTGACCCAACATGACTACGCTAGTGGCGTAACAAATCTCTTTGGCTCAGGTACTCGCGACCGTGTGTGCTACAGCATAATGCGCTCGAGGTCGGTCTAAAATACATCAAAGCCTGTCGCCTCCGTACTCTGCGTATCTCCTCCTCATGTCATAGTATCTTTACCTACGTCCCGTCGGAGCCGGCACACTCATCGTTTCGCAGACCAGCAAGTGCTCTCTGCGTCGCATCCAGTGTCGGTGTATTTACAATGCAAGTCTTATTCTCTTGTTGTTGTAGCCCGTGCAACTAGGGCAAGTCAATGTCCGAACGGTTGACGAAGAAACACTGGTAGTTCTTTCGTCAGAACTGCATAATATCTGCAGTCTGTGCGCAGGCATGGCCTGAAATAAGAGGAAGCAACATACTGAGTTGCTGAAACGTTAGTCAATGCACTGCCTTCAAAAAATTTCTTTTACTGACGGCGTTCCGCGTAGCATCAAGTCTAATCCTTCTTCACTAGCCACCGTGCATTCTTAATGAGACTGCGTTCTAGAGCCAATTGCCGTTGAACTTTGCGAAATTGGCTACGCATCTCCGAATCGGCAGTGTCATCCACATTCGCAGGGAGCGCTTATTTCCTCGCTGACATAAATACGCTAATAATCGCACTGTTATCATCATACTAATCGCGCTGTTTACAGTTTGCGAAACCGATGGTTTCTTCGCAAGCAGCAGTCAACTTTATACGGATGTAGTGTCACAGGTCGCTAAATGGGGCAATGGATTCGACATCAACAATGCGAGTAGCCATCGCTTTGTTTTATCCCATCCTCTTCTCCACTGTACCTAGAGCAAGAACGTTAACTTTGCACTGGTTAACGACATGAGCGCAATACGTCAGTTTACCGAAATATATGCAAAATTTGATCCTCATCAATTCGTGATCAGTATCACAATTTGTCCCACAAACTAAAACTGTCTTGCGCACTTCACGCAGGTCACTCTAGCCTACAATGACATAGTTGAGCAGCTGAGCGTGACCACACCGTGGGTGCGTCCAAGTAGCTATTTCATCCGCACACAATGCAAACTGTGTGTTCGTGAACGTCAGACTAAGAGTAGCGCACAGGGAGAGCAGCCGATCACCGTTCCCATTGGATGTGCCAATACTATATGGATCGATTATGTCTGTCCACACCGAAGCATCTCGTCCACCGCGCGCTGAACTCACTCAATATCAATAGTCGATGGACCTTCAGCACAGACCGTATCACGGAAGATAACTGAGCGTAAACCAATCCTGCATGTCTGCAAGATAACACATGGTGGGAAGATATATGCTAATTAAAGTGGCAAACTTGCCTCTTCTAAGTCGCAGACGGAAGTCATTAATCGTAGAATGATGGCAGTCGGATCTGCCAAAAGCCCAGCATTTACGATGTCCGATAGTGCAATTTGGACCCATGTTTGAGTGGTGCTGATGTGGCTTTCAGCAGTCAGTAGTACGTGTAACTAGCACTGGCCGCTTGCCTTGATCAGCGAGTCGACTAACGTAAAATGTAGCAAAAAGGATTCGTATCCAGCTGCAGCTGGGTGCGTCAGTGCAAGAAACCAATGTTGAGCGTTTTGCGAGGAGGCATCTTTTATATATATATATATATATATATATATATATATATATATATATATATAGATGCGTGAACAAAAGTGTTGGCATTTGCATCACACTTCTGGTGGCCAAAGTATAGTGGCAACCAATAATTTGTGGCAAATACTACCGTCCACACGGATATGGCTGATGATAGTTCACAATCAAATAATTTATATTTACGCTACACTAACACAAAAACATTGATTTCCAATAGATTACATTAGTACTGAAATTAGCGTGTAGGACTTGGGAATTCGATTTGCAAGTCACGGATGTCGTAACCAATTTTTGTAATGTTGCGCTTTTCAATGGCCTCTTCTGTTACCTTGATGGCGTCCGTGTCGTCCAACTCGAAGTATAAGAGAAATTCCCCTTTCACATGTTTACGTTGTGGACCGGTTACAGTACAAGTGGAGTTGTTGTTGTCCGAGATTTTCTTAGTATTTGCTCTCTTCGTAAACTAGTTGATAAAAACATCCAATGACGAAGGTGCAATATTTTGATTGACAAGATTAATCAGGGTAAACAAAATTCATCATTTTTGACAGCCTCTGGTTTCTGCGGCAGAAATCTATACTAATTTGACCACGTTACCATCTTAGTGATCTGTTTTATGAATCCACCTTGCTCGCAGACGAGTTAACGCATAGGCTACCAAGAGCTTAGATACATAGCAAGTATATGCGAGGATGTTTGTGCCGCGCTCACCCGGTGTCACCGCAACGATCAACCGTCTATCAACTTACCGTAGTTAGTCAATGAGTTAACGTTAAAACGACAAAGCTTTTATATTAACCGAGTGCATACACCTACAGTCAACAGGGTCCATCACTTTACAAATATTAGCCTGTGTGTGTTCTGCCAATGCAAGTTTGGTAGCTGGACGAATGGTAGAATTGTATCGACGGTTGCCGCATATTTTCAGCTAAGCTGTAGCGAGTAGGCGAAATAAAATAAAACTAAAGAATTCTATCAAACAAATTGCGATTTGAGCAACGTTGCGCGTCAAGTGTGTTTGATGACGGGACTCTTTTGATCTGCGAGTTAACGGTGCCTTATCTTGTATGCAATTGCAGTGGCTCGAGAACTCTACTAGAGCACCACCGACTTCCAAACCTCATGAGTCACACCGCTTAGTACCACTGCGAAATGTGTTTACAAATGCACTCCAAACCGTTGCTTACTTTCGAGCAGGCCGCTTCTGCAATATGTATCACCTCGGTTGCACTGCCATATGCGCTGTGCCATTCTCCCTTTGAATCATCTCCGACGAATCTCACAGCAATTCGGATAGCTAAATTGGATTGGCGACATAAGGAATTCAAGGATACAAAACCTCTTGTAAAATGTTGAATGCTGTCTTGGTGATGCAATGAATGCTCTTGTTTGGCAGTGAATAACGTGTAGATGCGTTTAGTTGCTTGTGTGTTTCATTATATCTATTTATGGCAGTGTACCAGGCTAACAATCTTAGCGAAAACTGCTAATGGATTGTCCAAGCAGTTTTAGCGCCAATGTGGAAATCATAGTCGTAATAAAGGGAATTGAGCGACGTTCATTCACAAGAGTACTCAGCTGTGTTAAACTGCTCACGCTGGTGAATCATATGACATGTGTTGCTTAGTATTGTTGTGTTAGTTCCTACGCGCTAACTTCAGTCCGTTTGTGACTGTGGAGGTAGTCACTCAGCGCAGAACCGAGAGTAAAAGAGGAGTAGCGGATATTTCGCTTACTTGTGTAATTTAATAGCCAGTGTTTGCTGTGGATCTCGCTATGATCAATAACTTACTTGTCTGACGTTGGTTGTTGACAGCGCCTACGAAATAATGGAGAAAACAGATTGCTTATCAAACGTAGGAAAGATAAAACCGTAAATTTGCGACCCGGATTTATGTATATGCATTTGCATGATTTTATTAAAGCGGCTACTAATCACGGGATATCTGACATATTGATGATTTGAGTTATTAATTAGTGAAATGTAATTGTTTTACCAAGGAAGCTAATGTATTAGAAAACCTAAGCTTGTAAATGTTCAAGTTCAACGATTAAGATGAACTTACTGAATGGCTGTTGAAGGTTTAAGTCCATGACGTTTAAGTTAGTCATCCGGTTTTCGCACTCCCCAAACAATTCCGATGCAAACTTTTGTGATTCAATCGATCCTGTAGTCTCGAGCTTGACAATGACGTGATTGATTTCTGGATAGCCAGTTAATGAAGAAACGCTGCATCCAACTGCTTCGTATGGCTTGTCTATGTTTGACGATATTGTATCCCGGAGCTGAAATCGCATAGCAAAGGAAAATTAGCAGTGGGTATTGGGTTTACGGTTCGACCCACGTAGCCCAAACGCCCAAACATTAATTCGGTATCAGAATCAAGGTAAAAGTTTAACCTTAATGGTTTGGAGAACTCATAATTTCGTAGATCGATTTTAAGTTTATACGTTTACTATGAGCCTATGGAAAAGAACTCAGGCAATGCTTGTTACCTTGTTGCAAACAGCTTCCAACTGGCTACCTTCGGCAAGGTCTTCAAATTCGTTTATACTTGTAAAGTGTATCATATTGCCATCCTTCAGGAGTATTCCTGTTATTGATATGACTGTTAAGACAAGCGAAAATGACGCATACATTGAAAAGCTGATTACTTCAGCAAGTTATCATGCAAACAAGACCTGTTTATTTTGGCTAGCTGTGTCTTTACTGCTAATTCTGCGTTTACTCTAAAATGCAAATAACTTTTTCATGATATTTTCATGCAAACAATAATTTAGTCACAACTGACGCCTTGGAGAATTGAAACTTTATTGAACACTGGGTTTAGAGGGATCATTTGAATATATACACTCTACTAATGCTAACTCACAATGTAGCCGCTTCAGTTCACATGGCACAAACGCAGTTGCTGTTGAAGGAAAGAGGTAAATTCTATAAAGGATTATGTCATGGATTCATTTGGCTCACTAGGTTATTCTGAAGTGAATTAAATCCGAATGTCTAAGTAAGTTGCTTAGACCACCGTATCGGTGTCTTTAAATCGGTACAATTTGAAAATTATGAACTTGAATTTGCATGCATTTTGACGATCCTAGCGATTATTTCGGCGATCAGCGTTTGAACATTATTCTTGTTACGCATCTATGTGTAGTTCACTCGGGTTTTAGGACACAAAACCTAACTGCAATGAGCAGCTGATTCTAACAACACTTTTGTGTTTAATAAAGGAATAACGTATGTGTCAAGAAGCTCCTTTAATTTAATCGCATGTTTGGCAACTTTTGTGATATGCACATGATCTAATAAGATAATAAGCTGCATTATGTTTTGACTACTAGTCTAGTACTTGTCGAATGAGACTAGATGATATGCATAGCATACACAGTTCAGTGTTGGCATATTATCATTAAATAATCCGTATCGGAGGATAATGTGCAGGCTAAATTATATCACGAAACATACCAAGGATTAGTAAGTATTGTGAAGCAAACATTATAGCGCTTTGGCAGTATTACAATGAGCTTTTGAAGCACAACCAAGTTATATACCCGCCACGATACACTTACCAGACAGGAGCATTTCTAGTTGGAGGATATCTTTATCACATACCGAATAATTGGTCCGTTATGCCTTTGCACCAATTGGATAGCCGACAGGACCACTTTGGTACACCCGTGTATGGTATGTCAACCTGATTGGTGGCGGTGGATTTGTAAAGTTTGGCGGTGCTTAGCGAAACGTAAGGCGGTCCGTGTCCATCAACCTGGCTCCAGACAGTTTAACGGTGGTCCTTTCGCAACAGCTGCACAAGCAACTCTCAAAATAAGTATACACAGGAATTGCGCCAGCCGTGTTTAGTCATCCACTTTGTAGAATACATTGAATAATCTTAAGATATTGGTGGGTATTTTTGTCATATTTTGTGGCTAGCCATCTACAGGTGCATACTGCCTCTGTACTAGCTCACTCTCTATCGAAACGAGGATATTCGAGTAAAACTTGTGTACCACATTTTGATGGGAGTAGCTGGAACTATTAATATTAGGCTTATGCTACCAGCAACCCAGAAGTTCTTTGCGTAAGCACGCAAAATTTAACACTGAACCAACGCACTACTTTATGCAAAATTACAAGACAATAACGTATTTGGATATTGAAGTATTGCACTGGATCACCAGAATTGACATCCCCCATCTGCTGAAATCCGATCGGCATCTGCTTGCCAAACCTTGTTATTCTTCAGATTCGCTGGCGCTTACTGTTTCCAGCTAATCCAAAGCTTTTACACCTGATTGGTTTTTGCTTTGCGAAATGTATCCCGCCAGTCGGGCTAGGTATAAAAATTATTCATTCATTTATCCATCCAAAAGCGCTACCTGTCCCATGTGTCACACTTGCTTGTCTTCTGTCCATGCTTGCATTCGCACACAACTTTCTAAGGTCAATTGCCTCCTTTAAGCAACCCGGAAAGATACTACAACGTACCCTATATACGCTGACAGCTAAGACGTTATTTCGTGTGGTTATGTGACCCAATATAAGCGCCAGTGTGAGACCGTGTGCGAACCCTGGTTTTTGTAATCTCTCTGTTAACCTCAAGTATAATGGTTTGCACGCTTACCTCACACATTTTAAAGATTCGGCTGTTTCTGTACTGCGTAGTGTTTACTTGCATTACTTTTTATGCATTTTGAAATCCATTTGTGCAGTATTGTAGTTGACTTTTGGCTGTGTTTTGGTTTGATCCTGTAGTTCTACGGGACATTCAACTCCTAGTAATTTATCACAATAATCCATCTGCTCGTAAAAGAAAATCTACGTTTGAGCTGTTCAAAACCCCCAAGGCTTCTTTGGTGTGGTCAATACGGAAAGCATAGTGCAAAACAGCCTGCTCTTTAGTAAGATATTTGTGGGAGTCCAAACTATTGATAGTCCAATGACTTCAGTCAGCGTGCAGGTTCCTAAAGGCAAGCGTGCGACCTATCCATGTTAATGCCCAATAACTAGTTCTTCATCCGTGTTCCTGTTACGGTTTTTTACACAATTCAATGCGACGATTTATGTCAAAGTGGATCGTTAGTTGCATTGACACATTGTCTTGACATTGTCTTGATATGTTAAAGGAGTTACCAGTTTATGTAGGAATTGACGGAGATAGTGAATCTTTAGTCGTAGTAGTAGTAGTACTAGTAAGCGTAGTAGTATTAGTAATATTAGTAGTATTAGTAGTAGTAATATTAGTAGTAATATAGAGGTGGTAGTAGTAGTATATCCACAATCTTATTACAGCTAATGTGTCATCTGAACCATAACAATGGAGGGGGAATAAAATGTAATAGCGGGAGAGAAATGACCTATTTGTTTTGCGCGCTCTATTTTGTGCTTTTTGGAGTTACTTCCCATTTGCGATTAAACATTAAAACTGAGTTGGTTGAACAAAACTCTCTCCATTGTTGTTTGTTGCCCGCCTCAACCAGTGTTTCCAAACACTAACAGTTCGAGTCTAGTGGTCCCCATCATGGAAGGCGGACCGGTTCAACGGATACAAAGGTTGAGGTTGCCTACTTCAGGTTCTTACTCCACAGCATTAGTTGCCAATTGCGGCACATTTTACAGTCGCCTCCGGATATCGCAAATAAGGAAGGCGATAGACTGGCATGCGTATTACGTGGTCGATCCAACTCATGCGGTGTCGGCGAATAATGTTTTAGAGGTATTAGATATTTATCCCAAGTACACGGCATCGGACTACTGTGTTTCTTACGTGGGGTTGCCATTTCATTCCAGCAATCCTACACAAACAACTGTTGTGACAACTAACAATCACTTCATGTCTTCCGAGCGAAATGGCCAGGTCTCACAGCCGTACAAGAGAACCACAAAACGCCGTCCTTTGCAGCTTGTGAATGACATCGTGACAAGACCATAGGTGTCGCAGTCTGATCCGTTCCGTTGTAAGACTTCATCTCCAACATTGCCGCCATCTGTGATGCAACACCCCATATAAGTAAAGCAGTGGACTTGTTGCAGGACTTCACCGCCCATAGTGATGGCTGGCACCAGCCTCTGCAACCTTGGAGTAGTCTTTTACGTTTGCCTTGGGTGAAATACAGGTCATCGCTAAGCGGTTCAAACCACTTTAGACGGTTTTTGGATTGTCTTCAGGCAAAGTGATATCATCGTCATAGTCTAAGTCCACAAATGTGTCACTTGGAAGATGCTCAATACCTCGGTTTTGGACGCCTTCCCATGCTCCTTGGACGACATATTCAATGAAAAATAAAACAGTAATAGGGAAATCGAGCAACATTCGCTCACGCCGCTGGTGACTTCAAACATGGAGAAATGCCTGTTGATATCCCTAACTTTGCCAAACGTGTGGCTGTAGAGTTATTTCAGGATGATCACAAAATTATCGGTCACACCTCCTTAGTAGACTGTTCCACAACCCAGGTCTATCTATCTATTCACATGCAAATAGTATGTCCAATACCTGTACAATGGTGGCCGCTTTTGAGTTGACGGTGTGCAATACTTTGGTGAAGCGTGAAGATTTGATAAATGACACTTCTGCTTGGAGAAAGCCTACTTGTTCCTCTCGGGAAATGCCTCCTCTAATCGCTGAAAGCCTGTGGAGTAGGACAGACATGAAGTCAAGTTGATGTCAAGTTTACATAGTTAGGCTTTTGAATAGCACAAGTGACCTACTTATGCAAGCATTGCCTTTGCAATAAAAATGATATCTGAACTGGTCACACAGCGAATAATTGTGTTCATTTTGCTGTATATGTTCTTTGCTGTATCAGCACTGCAATTTTTGGGTGTATAAGAGGAAACCACAAACAAACACCTAAGCCAACATTAGCTGATATCTTCAAACGGGCAGCATACAAATGGGTGCTCAAGCGAATCCAATCAACCATCGATGACTTAGCCGCGGAACTGAGGAAAATAGCAACCTTAGTTTTACTAGTTGTTGCTACATCGACGCCCCGGCTGCCTACAACCAACAGCAAGAGACCCATCTGCCGCAGTTAGTTCAGCTATCACCTGAGGGCTATTGATTCTAATTTCGGTCGAGCATCGCGCGTCAATACCTAGGGTATCCAACGTGCCTGCGAGTGCAACTTATTGACATATTGTATTACAAACGACGCGACAAGGAACACCAACTTTACTGGCGTGATCACAAGCTACCACGCCACTCACGCAAGTGTAGAGTAATGAGTCATGTTTCCTCCCCAACACGCACCAACTATCTTAATTTCCGCTCGCGAAACGTCTTTCCCTCACT